AACTGACATTCATAGCTGAAATATAGAACCATTTGGGAAGCACAAAAAGATGTATTGTGGTAATAGTCCTTAGGCTTATGGTGTCTACTTCTATGAATATTGATGGATTTGTTAGTAATATCATACTATAAAGGGATTATGTCTGAAATGGTACTGTCTTGGCAGGCATTTCTGTTTACATCTCTGTTAAGAGAAGCTTTTTCCTTGAGAAGGAGCCGTCCCGCCAGCCTGGTTCCAGAGCCGCATTAGTCCCAAATAAACACACAGGAGGCTATATTAATTATGAAGCTGTTGGCCTTGCTTGTCCCTTACTGGCTAGCTCTGTCTTAAGTAATTACCCTATAATTGTTAATCTAAGTATGTTTCTTACCGGAGAATAGTTCCCGGCGTCCTACCCCCATGGCGTCACATGTTGACTCTCTTGTGTTTCCCCTTCCCAGAATCCTCCTCGACTCCTAGTCCCTCCTATCTAGGTTTTCTATTGGCCAGACAGTACTTTATTGACAAATGCACAGGCAAATAACAGGACTTCCCCAACACATCTCTACTTCTGTTCAGAATGTATTTGTGAAGAGTCTGGTGGAAGTCTGCATATACTCAGTGACATTTAAGCACAGGACTATCAGTTCATATTTTTAGTAGAATACTGATTGACGGGGGAAGTCCTTCCGCATATATATTTGTCTGATTGGTTGATAAATAAAGCACTGTTGGCCGATAGGGAAGCAAGATAGGTGGGACTAGGAGTCAGGAAGAAGTCTGGGAAATGTAGTCAAGAGTGGGAAGTCGCCATGTGATCTCGGGAAGAGGACACATGAGGTTTTGTCCTCAGTAAGATGAGTCCTTGTAAAAATATATAGATTAGTAATTATGGGTTAATAATTAAGTCGGAGCTAGCCAATGAGAAACCATAGCAAATGGCCAACAGCTTCATAATTAATATAGTGTCTAGTGTGTTATTTGGGGGCAGAGACAGCGGTGGGACCCAGGCAGCTGGCAGGAAGAATACAGTTACAACTGATGAAAGAAAAAAAAAATCCAAGTGATGAAAGAAGAGACTCCATTTCTACAAGCTGTCTTCTGAGCTATATAAGTATTCTATGGCATGTACCATGCACCCAGACCCATATATACACACACAGAATAAATAGATGAATAAATAGTGCTAAAATAAATTGCTCATCCATTGCCCATGTCTAATTGCTTTCTGGTCATTATCCAGACTAGCTTGTCCTAAATTCCCTTGTGGGTGAAACTGAAGTAATTTTTGAAACTTTAAAAAAAATTCTCATATCCTGCTGGGCGGTGGTGGCGCACACCTTTAATCCCAGCACTCGGGAGGCAGAGGCAGGCGGATCTCTGTGAGTTGGAGGCCGGGCTGGACCGACAGCCTCCAAAACAATACAGAGAAACCCTGTCTCGTAAAACCAAAAAAAAAAAAAACTCATATCCTGATTCTTTGTGTATATAGGGGTGTGTGCGTGTGTGTGTGTGTGTGTGTGTGTGTGCACACGCGCACACACACACCAGAAGTTTATTTTGTCAGGTGTCTTCCCCAGTCACTCTCCACCGTATTGTTGGAGACAGGATCTCGATGTACTTGCCAATTCAGCTAAACTTCCTGTTCAGAGAGCCTCTGGTGTCTTCATCTCCTAGTGCTGGGCTTAGAGATGACTAACACCATGCCTGGCTTTCTCACAGGAATGCTAAAGATTGAACTCAAGATTCTTTTTTTTTCTTTTTTTTGGTTTTTTGAGACAGGGTTTCTCTGTATTGTTTTGGAGGCTGTCCTGGAACTCACTCTGTAGACCAGGCTGGCCTCGAACTCACAGAGACCCGCCTGCCTCTGCCTCCCGAGTGCTGGGATTAAAGGCGTGCGCCACCAACGCCCGGCCCCAAGATTCTTTTGTTTGTTTGTTTTTTTTTTTTTCAAGACAGAGTTTCTTAGAGTTTCTTTGTGGCTTTGGAACTAGCTCTTGTAGACCAGGCTAGTCTCCAACTCACAGAGATCTGCCTGCCTCTGCCTCCTGAGTGATGGGATTAAAGGTGTTACTGGGCCCTTTTTATTGTTATTTAGTCTTAGAGTCTATCAAAACTTGCCTCTATTCTAAGTCATTACTAGAGATACTGGGAAAATGTTCAATTCCAGTCACACCTGAGATTATCCTCACTGGCTCCAACTCTCCCATTTGATGGTAAGCACAGCTGAACACGTGTGCTGAGGCCTAACTGTGAATGAAGCTATCCTGAGTTCAGTTAGACTCCAACCTTGTGGGATGAGGAAGGAGCAAAGACATACACGAAATAATAACTTAGATCTTATGATAGTATGGCCCTCAGAGGACAGGGGTATGCTGTTTAAAAACATCTGTACCATCTAAACTCATGGTGTCCACACTGCATAGGGAAGCTCTTAATTATATTTGGTTAAGAAAATGGTTTGCATGTTGCATTAATATTCTGAAAGCTTTCATTTCTCTGTCTTGAGACAGGGTCTCAAATATCCCTGGCTGGCCTAGAACTCAGAGATCTGTCTGCCTGGGTGGTGGGACTAAAGGTGTGTACCACCTCACCTGACTTTTGGAGTCAGGTTTTACTCTAGTATAGGTTAGCCTGCAGCACTACACCCAACAAAAACTCCTTCTTCAATCCCTTAACCCCCTTGAAGGTAAGACTTTGAAGGCCAACACTAACAATTGCAGTAGTGAAACTATAGTGAGTGACAGGCTCTTACTCCATGTCCTCTACACTCAGCCAAACAGCAAGGTCATTTCTCCTTTATAGCAACTGCTCTCCCAGATGTTCCCTCTAAAAACATTTGGTCTCATGTGTGAGTACAGGTGTATGTATGTGTAAGTTGAGGTCAAAGGGCTTGGTTTTTTTTTTTTTTGAAGAGTTTCACATGTAGCCCTGGCTGTCCTGGAACTCAAGTGTTCTATAGACTAGGTAGGCTAGCTTTTACCTGAGAGGTCTCCTATAGTGGACAACTTTTATTTCTACTTTGTATATGTGTGTACGCCTGGTTATCTGTATGTGTATAACCTAAGAACAAGCGCCCCCTTGAGGTCAGAAGTGGTTGTTGGCTTCCCTGAAACTGGGGTTAGGGATAGTTGTGAGGTCCCATTGTGGGTGCTGGGAATGAAACCAGTCTCTTCAAGAGCAGCAAGTGTTCTTCATGCTCAGCCATCTCTCCTGCCCTGAAAGGATGTCTTTTAGAGTTGGCCCTCACTTTCCATAGTGGCACAAGAATCTAACTCAGATGGTCAGTCTTTTTTTGTTTTTGGTTGAGACAGGGTTTCTCTGTGGCTTTGGAAGCTATCCTGGAACTAGCTCTTGTAGACCAGGCTGGTCTCGAATGTAGAGATCCGCCTGCCTCTGCCTCCTGAGTGCTGGGATTAAAGGCGTGCGCCACCACTGCCTGGCGTCTCGGGTGATTAGTCTTGCTCGGAAAGCACTTTTACCCTGAGCCATCCTGCTAGCCTGTCCTAGGTTAGTGGCATTTTCCCACCTTGCCTTCCTGCCTATAAAACCAGCCAGTCACAGTATTCCTGAGATTAAATGCTAAGCTACTCCCTGATACTGCTAAGTTCCAGTCTTTAGCAAGTGGATCCAGTCTTCTGTATTTTCTGCTTGGCTTTGTATGTAACATAGGAAGCCTTTTTTCACCGTCTATTAACATCATTCCCACTCTGCTCAACCCAGCTTAGGCAGGATTAGGAACCACAAAGGACAGGACATCTGGAGTGACAGAAGCCACATGCTTATTGCTGGCAGGTTTTGTCCCACGGTTGCTTCTCTAGTCCCAAATAAGCACACAGACACTATATCAATTATTAAACTGTTGGCCAAAGGCTAGGGCTTCTTATTGGCTAGCTCTGTCTTAATTATTAACCCATTTCCACATGGTCTTATCTTACCAGAGAACACCTGGTGTGTCCTTTCTTCCTGCCTTTCCCAGAATTCTCCTCTCCTAGCCCTGCCTCTACTGGCCACAGGCCAAACAGTGTTTTTTTTTTTTTTTTTTTTTTTTTTTGGTTTTTCAAGACAGGGTTTCTCTGTATTGTCTTGGGGGCTATCCTGGAACTAGCTCTCAGACCAGGGTGGTCTGGAACTCACAAAGATCCACCTGCCTCTGCCTCCCGAGTGCTGGGATTAAAGGCGTGCGCCACCAGTGCCCGGCTCAAACAGTGTTTTATTCATCAACCAATAACATATATACAGGGCATCCCCATCACCTGAAGTATGGAGATTATCATCATTGTACCATGAAGTCACAGTAAAGAAGCTCTTGACAAGTCTCTCACTTTACATTCTGCTAACATTTGTTGAACCAAAATGGTTTGTGTGCCTGCACATCCTAAAACACAGCTGGGTTCCATAGGAAAAGGCAATTGGTGCTAAGCCTGAAGACCCCAGACCCAGATGGCAAAAGTAGAGGGACAACTCCCCTAGGTTGTCCCCTAACCCCATGTATGGTGTGCATTTAAATGCACAAGTGCACACACAATAAACGTTAAAAGATAAGCTACACAACTAAATCCTAAACAAGACATACCATTCCTTGGAAGGCTCAGGAAACACTGCAGAAGAGGGTGGCAACAATGTTAGAGACAGAAAGGATAAGGGCTGGGGAATGACATTGGACAGATATAGCCATCATAATCATAACTCTGAATTACTAGTAATATCCATGGTAGGTCTGCACAGCAGCAGGGCAAGCCAGGCGTTGATGGAGGAAGGGCCTGGGGCCCCACCTTCAGTGTGGAACTAGTTTGATGATAGGTTCACAAAAAGGGAGAATAGCGGGAGTGCCCGCGGATGATCCCAGCAGGCTCCAATAGAGACCACAGGCAGCCTTGGCCTAACTAAATATGTTGCAAAGCAAAACCAAAGGAGACTGGATGGAGGTGAGTTGTAAAGGCGTGGGAGGGACATAAGGGTGTGTGTGTGGGTGATAACCAGAATGTATTATACATAACCAAAAAGAATAAATGCATACATATTGTTTATGTAAAAATTTATTTGACCAAAATGTAGAAAAAGTGATATTATCACATATACAATTGCAAGAATCTAAAGAACAGAGTAGGTTTTATTCAATTGCACAGTTTGCTAAAAGTTCATCTTCCTGGTAGTGTGATGCTTAATAAATAGGAGTGAGGGCGGGGTCCAGATAAGCTAGAAGCAGGGTGATTTTCAGTGGAATTGTAAACTTGACTTGTCCCCACACTGCTAGGGAATGTGGAATGTTTCAGTCTGAGATGGTAACTTAGAAAGCAAAACTACAATAAACCCAAAATAATGTGCAGCCTACAGAATACTCCACATCCAGTTCAATCAGGGGTTTCTTGGTCTTTTATTAGTGTCATTCCCGAAGGAATTCAAGTCTTGGCAAAGTCAAGCTTCCATTTGTTGTTCCCTGAACAATGGAGATGAAGGTTTTAAACCAATTTCTTTTTCTATCACTGTGCTGCCAGAGAGACCTTTTGTTGCCCAACAGTTGTCTGTATTAATGACTAGCAGTCCTTTTGTTCCAGGCCAGTAGACCAGACTGGCCTGGAAATCAGAGAGACCCACCTGCCTCTGCCTCCCGAGTGCTGGGCCTAAAGGTGTGCACCACTGTGCCTGGCTTTGACATGGCTGATCTGGAAAGGATTGGACTCTGTCACGGGCTCTCTGAGCATGTCATTAGACCACAGCAGACGAGTCCTGGAATAAGACACTTGCTCCTCAGAGAACACTTTTGGAGTGAAAGGAAAATGTGCATGGAACAGCATCAAGGCTCTACTGGATGACAGATGGGCAATCACTTCACACCCTCACTTGGAATGCTTAAAGGAAGTTTGTTCTGCACAGTGGAGTGTGGAGCCGACTCAGCATCATCAGGCCAATCTACCGTTTGACTTCCCATGCTAGTCTGTTTTTAATTTTTGCTCTGGGTGAAAAATTCCCACTTTTCCTTGTAGCAACCCCCAGCCTCCCATAACTTCCCCAACAGTGACCAGACACTATCAGATACTTGAGCTTGTGCTTTAAAGTGTGGGGCTGCTAATTCCCAGAAACCAAATGCCCTCAGCCTTAAGCAACTACACTCAGTGTGAAATTCCCTGCCTATTTTAGGAATAAATGCAATTTAAGAATAAGACTAGCTAAAGAAGCTGGTGCCATTTGAAAAGAAAAGGAAAGAAACTTAAATGGTGCTCAAAGCTTGTCTGATACAAAATATTTGGTCATGAATTCATTATGTGCTTGGCATTTCCATCCAGCAAGGTGGAGACACAGTAACAAGAGGAACTTCTTATAGGAGAGGAAGACACCGCACACTCTCTGGAGTCGAGTTGATGTCAGAACAGGACTCTTCTAGTTTGGGTTATATACAGTTAAGTTCGTTTAGTGTCTGATCCAGTGTCTGATGTAAGCCCACATTCTCTTCTTTGGCCTGGGCAAGTTTTTCTGTTAAGGATTAAGATAGGAAAGAAAAATGAATTAATAAGCAATTTTGTTAAAGGAAGAAAAAGGGGGGAACCTCAAACTATCAGTGAAAGTCACAACTAAAGAAGTGCTTCTGTTCAAATCACACAGAATACCATGGAGTAACAGGGATCAAGGACCAAACAAGCTAAAATATGGATTATTAGGCTGGGTATGGTAGTGCATTATTTGAATCCCAGCTCTGAAGAGGCACGTAGATCTCTTAATTTGAGATCAGCCTGATCTACACAGCAAGTTCCAGGCTAGCCAGAGCTGTGTAGTTGGAGCCTGTCTCCAAAACAAAGTCTAGCAACAGCCTGGCTTTGTGGTATATACCTGACTCTCCAGCACCTAGAAGACTAAGGCAGGAGGATCAGGAGTCTGAGGCCATCGTGGATTAGCTTCAAGTCACCTGTTTCACTACTACCCCCAACCTAAAGAGAAATCTTGGGTTGGTAGAACTCCTCATCAAGAAAAGGCACTTGCTGCCAGGTCTGATAGTCAGGTTTATTTTTGTTTTTTGAGACAGGGTTTTTCCATGTGGCCCTGGCTGTCCTGGAACTCATTCTGTAGACCACGCTATCCCTGAACTCACAGAGATCCGCCTGCCCCTGCCTTCTGAGTCCTGGGTTAAAGGTATGCGTCCATCCTTCCAAAATCAGTTTTATCCCTGGGACTTACACAGTGGAAGGAAGAGCAGTGAGTCCTACAACCTGTTCTCTGACCTCCACCCGTGTGCTGCGGCACATGAGCATCTCCCACCCAAACACAGAAGTACAGATGAAATTTTAACATCCCACATGTTTCACGAGATGACTGTACAAAAACAGAATTCTTTGCCTGGGTGAAACTCAAATTTGACCTACTGCCCTGTATTTTCCTTTGCTAAATCCAGCAATCCTAGAGCCAAGGCACTTGGAATGAAGCCCTAAGCTGTACAATTAGAATGAGCCATTTAACCTTTGCAAGTGTCAGTTTGCCCATCTGTGAAATGGAGAGATTAACACCAGTGTGTATGATCTTAGGAGAACTAACTGGGACATGCTTCAGAACTCAAGAGGTACTGTACACATAAAAGATTTTGGTCCCAGATACAGGTACTTATTACATTTGTTAGGAAAGTATCTGGGGATGACTGCTGTAATCCCAGGCATACAGTGTTCATTATCTTTGTGCCTCTGGCAATGGAGTCAAACCCCAGGTAAATGGCATAAGACTGAAACCTAAATCAGACTACAGGTAAACTATTCCATAACTGAGAAAATGGTGGTTTGTGAGGTGGCCAAGGTTCCTGCTGCCAAACCTGAAGACCTGAGGCCCTACATGGTGGGAGAACCCTGATCCCTGTGTGCTCCCTTCACCCCCAAGGAAATAAGTAAAGACAATAATCTGCAAGTCGTTGAGAGCCCTGCATGATCAAGCAGGAGAACACTGGTTCGCGTGAGCGATGGCTGATAAAGGACCAGACCAGGAGCCATTGAAATACTGGAAGGAAGTGAAAGGCCTCCTAAACTGTGACAGGATCAACCTGGAAATTTTCAGAGGGAAAAGCACCTTACACTGCAGAAGATGAAAACCTCTCTATAGCCACAGAACTTTCATGTGACAAATTACTGTGACTAGCCCATGTTAACTGCATGCTCCTGGGAGCCAGCTGCTCCGTGTTCTTAAACAACTCTCCTGGTAATCCAGACTGCATGTCATGTTTGTTTAACAGAAAAGCTCTTGTAGGGCTCTAGTAGAATGATCAGACAGACAGAAAGGGATGGTTATTTCAAAGGGTGGAGGCTATTCATGTCTGGAAAAATCTCAGGGAAATACAGAGCAAACAAAAGCACTCCACTCCCTTGTAAGGTCTGTAATCTATCCCAAAGTGCATACAAGACAAGGTATGCAGGGCAGGGTTTACAAAATTCCCACCCCACCCCTCAAACAGGGTTTCTGTGTAGCCCTGGCTGTCCTGGAACTCGCTTTGTAGACCAGGCTGGTCTCAAACTCAGAGATCCGCCTGCCTCTGCCTCCCGAGTGCTGGGATTAAAGGCTGGCCAGCACTTCCCTGCTTACAAACTGGGTTAGAGTAAACAGCACATAGGAATGGGGGGCGGGCGGTGGGTGGACAGTGCAGAGATATGAGTCTTTACAAGGTTGGTCAAAGGTCAACCTTGGCTGCTATTCTAAGACGTCACTTTTTTTTTAATTGGGGTGTGTGTGCGCCTTTGTGTCTATGAAGATGTGTGTAGGTGCCTGCAGAGGCAAGAAGAGGGTGTCAGATGCCCTGGAGCTGGGGTTACATGTAATTGTGAACTACTTGGTCTGGATGCTAGGAAATGTACTTGGGTCCTTTGAAAGAGCAAGCGGTCTTAACCATGGCTCCAGCTTCCTTACTTTGCTTTCTTGAGACATGGTCTGTCACTGGCCAAAACCTCACTCAGTAGGGTAGCCTAGATGCCCAGCAAGCCCTCCTCCACAGTTCTGGCACTACAAGCCCAAGTCACATCCTAGCCTTTTCACTTTGGTCCTTACGCTTGAGAAGCAGGCTCTTTACAGACCAAGCAAACAAACAGTCCTTGTTTCAGGACTAATAATGAGGTTTTGGTGGTGAAAAGATTAGGAGGAAATAAGACTTCTCAGGGGAAAACCCGATTCATTGCCCCTCTCTGCCCTCCCCCTAAGTGTATGTGAGCACCCCTTGTGCACGTGCAGAGGCCAGAGGCCCGATCACTCAACCTTATCCCTGAGACAGTGGAGATGTGGAGACCCCAGTTATCATCCTCAGAGTTCAACAAGAGTTGAATACAGAGACCACAGCACTACTGTAACCACTTGGATTCATAGCCTGAACCCAATCAAGGGCAGGCTCCTTTTATCTGCCGACTCATCGGACACTCTCCACTAAGAAGCTCCGACTGGGCTGCCACTCCATTTAGCTACTGCTGTGTTTGAGGACTCCTGCCAGAATGGCTTTGGAGTTATTTTCAGAAAAGAGCCACACGGACCTCATTTTTCTTTAGGTAAAAAGAGCCTCTACCTCTCAGCCCAGCCATGGTCAAAGGCTCCTGCTCGCCTCTGCTCAAAGATGAGGTGGCAAGGACAAGATGCAGATGGCCTGTTGTCATCCCAGTCAGAGGCTGACACGTGGGAAAAGGCTAAAGTTCACACCAGGAGGTGGGTCCCTGGAGCTCCCAGGCACCAGAGGCAGGAGGCCATCTGGGGATGGCTAGGACCCAAGGTGGCACCCAGTGCCCTCAGAAAGAGGTTTTGTCATTGAGGGCTGGCTCAGATCCTTCATGATAACTATTTACTTGAGCTTCTCGGCACTCTGTCTACAGGGTGGTGTCCCCAGGGAGGGAGCGTTGAGATGGAACAGTGAAGACAAACAGGAGGAGAAAAGGGAGAAAACTGTGACCAAGACGGAGTTGAGCCCCATGTCAAGCAAACGACTATGGAGTGACTACTAAGACGGAGTTGAGCCCCATGTCAAGCAAACGACTATGGAGTGACTACTAAGACGGAGTTGAGCCCCATGTCAAGCAAACGACTATGGAGTGACTACTAAGACGGAGTTGAGCCCCATGTTAAGCAAACGACTATGGAGTGACTACTAAGAGGCCTCAGGCTCTGAACTGGAGTAGCCTAGGTGAGCTCTTCAAAGAACGAGCTGGGCCTGGGGCGCACACCTTTAATCCCAGCACTGGGAGGCAGAGGCAGGCGCCTGGTGTACACTGTGAGGTCCTGTCTCGAGATAAATACCCCACTACCATCACCACTGGGCCCAGACGACATTGATGATTTAATGACGTCATCCTGTCACAGGTCATCCTTTGGAATGGAGCATTTTCCCTTATATGGATAAGGGATATGAAGAATGAGTTTTACTCCCTTCCTGGATGAGACAGCATGGAGGATCCCAACCCCCAAGTGCCTGGAATTTCCGTGCTCTATCTCGAAGAATAATAAAGTCACTTCAAGAAATGCTGAGTTACGTGTTGCCCAGGGAACCAGGGTGCTGCAGGCCCCCCTTTTCCTTTTTTCTTCACACTAAGATAAGCTTTGACTCTGGGAGAAAGGCCAGCAAGAACTGGAGGCATTTAAAAAATGCAAGGCATCTCTGAGAATTCTCAAGACCTCACTCTGGAAACAAAGGCCAGCTCTGTCCCTTCACAGACCCCCTCATCCAACTTTTTATTGTCACTTAGGGAGGTGGAGATTCCTACCTTCCAGGTCATCGATTGTCTTCTCCAGTTTGGAAACTGTCCTCTCTGCAAACTCAGCTCGGGTCTCAGCCTAGGGAAGAAGAGAGTCACTACCCTGCCTCAGATGAGCCTCTCAAAAAGGACATGGCTGGGTGTAGTCACACTCACCTCCTTCAGTTTGTCAGACAGAAGCTTAATTTCTTCTTCATATTTATCCTCCTTTTCAGAATACTGTGGGAGAAACCAAAAGGCAGTTCTTAAGAAGCGGGGAAGGGGGCAGGAGAGATGATGGTTCAGAGGTTAGGAGCTCTTGATGCTTTTACAGAGGGCCGGTGTTCAGTTCCCAGCATCCACATGGAGGCTCACAACCATTTGTAACTTTCAGTGCCGGGAGGGGGGGGCGAACCTGACACCCTGCAGTGCAGACAAATGCAGGCAAAACACTTGCACACATTCAATAAACACTTTCAAAAAGGAAGGAGGAGCTGGGGAGGTGACTCAGGGAGTGAAACACCGGCCAGCATCGAGGACCACAGCATCCACATAAAAGCTGGATAGCTGTGGCAGCCCATCATGGGGATGGACTCCTGGAGCAAGCTGGCTAGCTAGACTAGCCAAATAGATGAGCTTCAGGTGAGAGATCCTGCCTCAGCAAGGCTCCCATTAACAAAGGTCTGCATGCCGACACCCTGGCATGGGCCAGGTCACCTGGACTGAAGAGCAGAGCAAAACGCAGCAAGTGCCCCTCCATCTGACCTTTTCAGATGCAGCCTCCAGGGACTTCAGGTTGTTAGTGACGTTCTTGAGCTCCTCCTCCAGGTCGCCACACTTTCTGCAGCAAGACAAGAGATCTGTGTCTTCCCTCACATTATAACAGGCAGCTCCCTTCCAAGGAGCCCCCACTCCCCAAGGAATGCTGGGAGCTTATCAAACCCTCTCTTGCCAGACACAAGCAGAGGCAGGGCAGGAGGGCACTTGGACGCTGTAAAGCAACCTGGGCATCTGCCAGGGATGAGGCAATAGGGACTTGTGAAATCTGTGACCGGCCAGGCTTTCTCACAAAGGCGTGCAAATGAGATGAGGGTGGAGGGGGGGGTTGGGGGGTGGAAGCCGGCATTTAGAGCTCACACTGGACACTCCAGGAAGCAAGCCTAGAATGCATCTGTGAAGCCAGCCTGCTCCCAGCCCCGAGGGCTCTGTGCAGCTGGATCCCTGGTCCAAGGCCAAAGGGAGAGGTGTTTTGTTTGTTGGGACTTGTGGGATTCTAGGTGAGCTACCCCAACAGGAATGTGTCAGGCACCAATACCAATATCAGCAGCAAAGCCCTCAAACACTTTGTGGGGCACCTGCCATCTACAGACAGCATTCTGTGAAGATCACATGGCCTGGCTGGGTGTGCAGAGCTAAGGAAAAGTCCAAGTTCCAGGCCAGCCTGGCTACACAGGAACACTGAGGAAGTGGGAGGCGGGATGTAAGAGCCGGAGGACTGAAAGGAGCGCTCTGAGATACTGCCTTCTGTATCAGACAGGGCTTTGCAAACTCACAGCAGCAGCGGCCGCCTACAAGACCTGCACAGGATGCGGCCTGCCAATATTCCATCACGGGGGAGGAATGGGCGCATGAGGCCCACCTTCCCCAAGTAGTTATCAGCAGTTAATGGCCTCTGGGGGAGGAGGAGATACATTTCTTAGTGGGGTAGCTATACAGCAAGTTGCCTTGCTCAGGTAAATAAGCTCTACCCATGCCCATGCTATGTGTACACACACACACACACACACACACACACACACACACACACACACACACATATATATATATCTCACTGTAGCAGGTCACACACAAGAAGAAATAAGAAATGAAAGTTAGGAGGGGACACGCTGAGCAAAGGGAATCACTGGGAGAGGATTAAAAGAGGTGTAAGGGTATGATATAAACAAAGTAAAGTGTGTGTGTGTGTACATATATAAAATTGTGAAAAACAAAAGTTTAAAAGCTCAGTTTAGTAGTGTGTGCCTGTCATCCTGGCAGCCAGGAATCAGAGGCAGGAGGATCAGGCGTTCCAGGCAGTAAGAGACCCTGTATCAAAAAACAAAACGAAACAGAAAGCAAAGCACAGTAGCCTTGGCTGGCTGAAGGAAATTTCAGGGCCTCTATGTTGTCCTGAGTCTCAACCCAGTTTCCCAGGTTGTTGGTGGGAAAGGGACCCAGCAAAGCTTTCCCTGGGTAGTAAGAACCATCGGCAACCATGTTCTGTCAGCGGATGAAGCAAAAAAGGAAGGCTGAGCCCTGAACCCTGGATGCCCAAGCCCTTGAGCAGAGGCTCTAGTTGTAGACAATTCCCATTCTCCCGCCTCCACCTGGAGCCGGATGAGCAGCTCCACCCCGTCCTGCCACTTACAGTTCAGACACCTCCGCACGCTCCTCTGCTCTCTCCAGCTCGCCCTCCAGGATGACCAACTTGCGTGCTACCTACAAAGACAGAAGGGCCAGCTGAGACCTATCCCACCACGGTCATTCCGTACAGGTGACGGTCCCTTCACATCTAAGAGCTCTGGGGCCTGCAAATGATGGGAAACCTCAGGTCCCCAAAGTGGAGCAGGCAAGAAGAAGGGACAGCTGAGTCACTGAGGGAAGAAGGACTAGAGCCCAGTGCGATGGTGACACTGTCGTCCCTGCTTGGGAGGCCCGGTTACAAAAACAAAACTAGGCATGGGAAGAAAGGAAGAAAATCAGGAACTAAAGGTTACTTCTGGTTTATAAAAGGGAGTTGGAGGCCAGCCTGAGACATCTTAGACACTTTCTCTGAAAACAAAATTCAGCCATGTATGGCGAGTGGTTCATGCCTATGACCCAGCACTTTGGAGACGGAGGCAGGAGGATCAGGACTTCAGGTCATCCTTTTCTACACGGGGAGAACAGCTTAGACTACAGAGGAACCTTTCTCAGAAAAAAACCCAACAACATAGATTGGAAAACCAAACACAGGATAGCCAGGCACTTATGGTCCTAGCACTTGGAAAGCTGAGGCAGTGGACACAGAGCCAAGAGCTTATAGCTGGGCATCAGGAATTCCAGGCCAGCCCAAGCTAGTATGAGGTCCGAGAAGACACAAAAGGGACAGTGGAGCCTGACGGGCAGACACGACCCCCCGCGTCTGCAAACTCGTCTCACATCCAGCTTAAGGGACAAGAGCAGTGCGCTGACCATTTGGTCTCCAGCAACTCAGACAAGTGGCCGCAGTACCTTTTTTTTGGCACCCATCAAGATAGTGTCCCAGCTAAGTGACTGTGTCTGGGAACACAGACGTTCCCACAGAGGTAATTATCCTAAGTGTGGGCTTCCTTTGGGTTCCTATCCTATCGGCAGCACCGTTTCCTCCCACTTCCTGCGGCCACGCCCATTGGTCCCACTCACCTCCTCGTACTTCCGGTCAGCCTCCTCAGCGATATGCTTGGCCTCTTTGAGCTGCATCTCCTGGATCTCCATCTTCTCCTCGTCTTTCATGGCTCGGTTCTCTATCACCTTCATGCCCCTGCAAAGGGGACGGGTGGGGTGTCAGAGCCAGGTCCTCAAACGCCTCCACCCAGCACCAGGCAGGGACGAAGACCTACAGTCAACTTCCACGCTGAGTTCACTGAGAAGCCAGCTGCACTGGGAACTGAACCCAGGTCCTCTGCAAGAGCAGCCACTGTTCCTAACTACAGAGCCATCCTCCTGCCCATGGTATCTTTGAGACAGGTCTCACTGTACCCGGAGCTTGCTGTTCTCCACAGACTGGCTGGCCACGGAAGCCCAAGGGTCCTCCAGTCTTTGCCTCTCTGGTGCCAGGATTACGGGCACGCACCCATGGCCATCTTTTACGTGAGGGTTAGGATACTGAGGCTCTCAGGCCTGTGCAGGATTACAGACACACACACACACACACACACACACACCCATCTTTTACGTGAGGGTTAGGATACTGAGGCTCTCAGGCCTGTGCAGGATTACAGGCACACCCATGGCCATCTTTTACGTGAGGGTTAGGATACTGAGGCTCTCAGGCCTGTGCGGCGAGCACTTCACCCACAGAGCAATCGCCCCAGACTCATGTATATGTTTTTGAGACAGGGATCTCATAGCCTAGGCTGACTTCAAACTCACTGTGCAGTCCAGGATAGCTCCGAAGTTCTGATCCTCCTGCCTCGACCTCCTCAGTGCTGGGGTGATGGGCTTGTATCACCACACCAGGCTTATGTGGTGCTCAGGACTGAACCCGGCTTTGTGCAAGCATTCTTACCAACTGAGCCTCAGTCCTACCCCAAGACCCTTTCTGTCAGGTCTTAGAAGACAGGGTTTTGCTACTCAGCCCAGGCTACTACACCAGCCTCAGCCTCTGGGAGCAGTAGGAGGACAGGCATGCTTCACCACCATGTCTGGTGTCCTCCAGGCACTACCAAATACCCCAACTCTCACAATCACACCATGTGATGTGTCACTATGCCCACCTACAGATAAAAGAAACGAGGCAGACAAAGGTTCAAGCTATGGAGCTGTGAAGCAGCAGAGTTGGCCCGGCCCCTCAGGGTGCACCGTTCTGTGCTCCCCTCAGGGAGACAAGCCTGAGCATCAGCAGTCACGGCGAGTGCGCGGCCACGCCTTTGGGGATGGAGAGCCGGTGTAGTAGGAACCGAGGGGAGAGCACAGAGGCTTTCTAGCCAAGGGTGAGGAGAGAACTGGAGGAGCCCCCACGTGACAGAGCGGCCCACCTCTGTCACCTCAGCACCTGGGAGACTGAGACAGGCCTCTAGCTCCTGGCAAGCCCGACTCTACAGCAGGATCTTGTTTCAATAAAACAAAACTTAAAAAAAGAAAAGCAAACAATAAACCCAGAGCTACGCTGTGTGTGGGTTTGCACCCCTTTAGTCCCGGCTCTCAAGAGACAGAAGCAAGGGGGTCTCTGTGAGTTTCAGGCCAGGCAGGGCTACACAGCGAGACTTTGTGTTAAAGCACAAAAAGAGAAAGAAGCAACCTTCAAACCAACCAACTAACTACTCCCCCCCAAGCCCTCCAAAAGCACACAGGAGAGCCACAGGAGTGAAAGAACATGCCCAGGAAGGGCAGGGTGTTTATGCTGGGGGGAGGGGGAGTTACTGGAAGCTTCCAGAGCCAGGACTGAATGGAAACAAGCTTCAGTACAAAGACCACAGGGAAGGCAGGCACAACCTGGGCAGCCCTAAGTGCTAAAAATAAACTAATTTCCAAAGGCACGCACCACCGTGGACATGCAGAGGATGTGTGACTGCTGTGTGAACCCCAAGCAAGAGTCTCACCACTAAGGCCCACCCACAACCTGAACCTTTGCGCAGCCACAGCACAAGTGGAACATTCCCCACGCAGCAGGCCACTGTTAAAAGGAGGGCACAGGAGAGACGCACGAAACGCTCCCCCGTCTCGGAGTAGACGGGATGGAGGATGTGTATGGCCTTCCTGTTTAGACAGGAAGATATCTCATTATACATATGCAAACATCTCCAATTCTAGAAACACCCGAACTCCTAAGCATGGCGAAGGACACGTAAGTACATCCAGGTCAGAAAGGACGATGCCCTTGGACAGCCAGAACTCAGCTGCCTCAGCAAAGCTTGCCCTGGCTGAGCTGCATGCAGTGGAGCAGAGGAGGTCATGGGGTCAGGGACATGGCTGGGGCTCAGGTGCTTCCATACAAGCATGAGACCGGAAGCTGCTCCCAGCACCACATAAACACCACCGCTAGGGAGGTGGGGACAGCATCTCTGGAGCTCACTGACCAAATGTATGGCTGACTGGATGAGCCTGTCTCAAAAAACAAGACGGAGAGATAGATAGCCAGAGAGAGCTCAGTGGGTATAGCACTTGTCACCACCAGTCTTGACAACAGGGAGAACCCTAGCATGTCCCAGGACAGCCAGGACCCTGCTTCAAAGACACACACACACACACACACACACACACACACACACACACACACACACACACACACACCAAAGATGGAAGCTAGGCACAAGGCTTGGTGAAACACATGCTATTAAAACTATGCCAGGCAGTGGTGTCGCACGCCTTTAATCCCAGCAGAGGCAGGAGGATCTCTGTGAGTTCGAGGCCAGCCTGGTCTACAGAGTAAGTTCCAGGACAAATAGGGCTGTTACACAGAGCAACTCTGTTTAAAAAAAAAAAAAACCAAAAACCAAAACAAACAAGCAAAAAAACACAGACACACACACACACAAACCCTGTGGAGTATGACAAAATACCTGATTTATTTGTTATTATAACTTCACATTTATTTATTTGTGTGGGAGTGTATATGGCCCAGCATAAGTGTGGAGGTTGGAAAAACCTGTAGGAGTTGTTTCTCCTTCCACAGTGTGGGTCCCAAACACCAACTGAACTCAGGATGTCACACTTGGCAGCAAGTGCATTTACCACTGAGCAATCTCACTGGCTTATTGTTTTTGGTTTTTAATACTTATCATTTTTAAGTGTGTGTGTGTGTGTGTGTGTGTGTGTGAGAGAGAGAGAGAGAGAGAGAGAGAGTGCAGGTGCCCACAGAATTCAGAGGCACTCTGCTCCCTGGAGCTGAAGTTACAGACAGCTATGAGATGCCCAGTGTGGGTGCTGCGTGTGTTCAGGGGCGTGCAAAGCCATGGCACAGATGTGGAGTCAGAAGACAGCTGGCAGGAGCTGGCTCTCTCCTTCCACCGTGTGAGACCCAGGGACTGAACTCAGTCATGAGACTCGGCAGCCAGTACCTCTGCCTACGGGACCACCTCAACGGCCCAAGTGAACCTTTCCCAGTGCCGCGTACAGAACTCGGGGCCTCTCTCGTGCTAGCAGGAGCTCCCCATCAAGCAGCACCACGCCCCCTGGTTGGTGTCTAGTGTCTGGTTTATATGTTCACAGCAGCACATTCTGAGATCAGTTCTGTGGGAGGAGCCCACACTGGAAACCTTCAGTATTGGGCTGGCCGGCCACACTGTCCATGGCTGGAGCTTCTGAGTGCCCTCTGCCCTCCAAGCCGAGACACACCAGAGTCACTCACTCAGGGGGACAGTGGGACAGAGCTCACTGTAGAGGCTGAAACACAGCACAAATACCACCAGAACAGCTTTACACGCAGCAATGGCTGGTTATGCACTGTTGTCAATGCACAGCTGTCATCTTCCAGAAGCTCTGCCTCCCTGGTCCTGGAATAAAAGCGTCCCCCGCTATGCCTGCCCCCTCCACCTTAACTTCCTCTTTTGTCCACACCATCTAGAAGCCCCATTTTCCCCAGAGTGGGGACCGGAGGCACAGTGGGGTCCCCACAAAGCACACTGAGGCCCGGCCCACACCTACACATTGCTGCTTTTCTCTGCCTGCTGGAATTCTCTGCCTGCTGGAATAAGCTCTCCTGGGCCACTATCAAAACAAAGCAACAACAGAAACCCAAGCCGGCCACACGGGGGGAGCATCCGTCATCCCAGCACTCGGACAGCTGAGGCGGGAAGGCTGCCAGGAGTTAAAGCCAGCCTGGGCTATATATGTAGACCCTGCCTCAAACAGAATAAAACAGAAAAGGAAATTAAAAACAAACAAACAGATCCCCCAAATCTCCACACAGAGTGTGGTGTCTATAGGGCTGTCACACATCTATAAAATCCCATTGGCTTTCCCTTCAGTCCTGAAGTCACCAGTACTGTCTCAAATCTTTTTTCCATCCGAAACTTGTGTGTGCACACAGAGGCAGAGGGGACAGCAGGTGTCCTGCTCCATCGCTCTACCCTAGGCCCTTGAGACAGGGTCTCTCACTGAGCCATCAAGTCCCACATCCTCCTGTGTAAACACAACAGGCCTTTTGCATGGCTGCTGGGCATGTAAGTGCTTATATACGGACTCATCAGCCCGCATACACACCTTCTCAAAAGTCAGGAAGGGAGGCAGAGGCAGGCGGATCTCTGTGAGTTCGAGGCCAGCCTGGTCTACAGTGCAAGTGCCAGGATAGGCTCCAAAGCTACACAGAGAAACCCTGTCTCGAACTCCCCCCCCCTCCAAAAAAGAAGTCAGGAAGGGCCTCATGTAGCCCAGGCTGGCCCGGAACTCTCCAACCTCCCCCCGTGCTGGGCCACGGGGCGCCCCACCACACCTGACTCCACCCCGTCTTCCACAGGTGGATGGATCCTACCTTTCGCTCTCATCTGCAGCCTTCTCCGCCTCCTCCAGCTTCTGCAGGGCTGTGGCCAGTCGCTCCTGGGCCCGGTCCAGCTCCTCCTCCACCAGCTGGATGCGGCGGTTAAGAGCAGCCACATCTCCTTCAGCCTGGGGAGTCAGAGTGCACCAGCCGGGTTACAGAAGTGGCAGAGACCCACCACACCTTCCCTGACACCCTGCCGCAGCCCACCCAGAATTCACTCTCATCTGAATTTAAATTTGCTTTTGAAACATTATTTTTCTGTGAGACAAGGCTTTGCAAATCGGCCAGGCTGGTCTCCAACTCGGGCAAGTCACAGCAACCAGCCTCTCTGGAGAACATAAAATAGCAGTCTCTCTGAAAACTTTGGGGAGTTCCCTCTGTGACATGAGAGTCCGCCTGTGCAGTTATCACGTGTTGAGTAAGAATCTGACTGCGACAGTAAAAAGAAAACCAAGCTTGGGGTGGCGCACACCTTCAATCCCAGCACTTGGAAGGCAGAGGCAGAGGATCTCTGTGAGTTCCAGGCCAACCAGAGATACACAGTGAGAGCCAGTCTCCAAAAAAAGAAGAAAGGAAAATTGGGCTTGGTGACACACACATCACTCTGAAGTCTGAGGCAGGAGTATAGCCAGATGGTGGCCACAACGAGATAGAACCCACAACGAGCTCAGCATGAGGGTGAGTTCCAGGCTCCAGGTAGGATTCTCAGGAAGGCTGGCAGTCACTGGGTGCACAGGGACCCCGCTGAGCATGTCAGTGTTCAATCCCGTGCAGCGGAGCAGTCCAGGGAGCTTGGACAGCGTGAGAGGAAAGACGCTGGGCTAAGGGCATGCAGACTGAAGCCCTGCTAGCCCTTTGTTGTTTGTGGTTGCCCTTAGCATAGCGGGAGCGGGCGCTTGCACACTCTAGCGCGGTTGGCAGGCTTTCGGGGGCCTTCCACAGCATGCAGAAAAGCAGGAGCCCTGGGGGCAGCTGGGTAGGGGTAGCTCTCATAGACTGTCTCATGTGCTCGTGTCTCTCACACACTGAACGTGCCACAGGACTAAAGGCTGCAACCAAAGGCGGTGACATGGCTTATCCCTCACATAGGAAAGATGGTGGGGGCAGGGTGTGCGTGCGTGCGTGCGTGTGTGTGTAAGAGGGGACCTGTGCGGCAGTCAGAGGACAACCTTCAGGGTTGGTTCTCCCCTTCCACCATGTCCTGGGATTCAAACTCAAGGTGGTGCAGCTGTTGGCAAACGCCTTTAGTAACTGAGCCTTCTTCCTGCCCTGGTACTATTGTATCTTCAAGTCTCACCCATCTTATGGGTGAGGACACAAGGCCCCATCAGTGCAGTGGTTTTGTTCAGTGACTTGGGGCTGATAAGTTCCTTCTTTCTCTGTCCCTCAGAGGCTTGGAGTCTAGGCCAGCCACCCAGGGGTGGCCACCCTCAAGAAGGAGCTTGGAAAGTTGGTGACAAGAGACTCAATTAGCAGGACATGATGACACATGCCTGTGGTCCCAGCTCCAGGTGACTGAAGCCAAAGGATAAAGTGTTTCAGGCTAGCCTGGGCTACTATACAGCAAGGTCCTCTGTCAAAATACCAGAAGGGGGGGTGGAACTGGCTCAGTGGGTGAAGGTCTTGCTGCACAGCATAAAGACCTGAGCTTGAATTCCATCACATGGGCGCAGGAGTTCAGCTGAAGGAGACAGAGGGAGTCACGCTATCTATTGGGTTCCTTTCAGGGATAACCACTACATGAGGACAGCTATAAAGAGCAGTGAGTCTGGGTCCTCCCTGTCCCAGACCGAACAGCAGGGAAAGTAACAGAACAAGGCTAGGGTGACCTGTGACCCCATCTCCCAACACCAATGTGTGCCTATGTGTCTCAAGTTTCTTCCCTCACCACGTGGGTCCTGGGGATTGAACTCAGGGCATCAGCCTTGGTGGCAAGTTCCTCTACCCAGCTGAGCCGTCTCAGTGGCGGTAGGTGGCTCGTCTTAATGTCTTAAACCTGTCACACTCCAACAACTAAGGCAGGGTTGGTTCCCACCCACTTCATTCCTACTACATTTAGCAAAAGTACACAACTAGCTGCACTATCTAATCCGTTAACGTTTGTCATTTTCCAAAAAGAACCTTGTACCCATCTGCAGTCAATAGTTTTCTGAATCATGGTCTCATGTAGTTCAGTCTGGCCTTGAACTTCTGATTTCCCTGCCTGACCCTCTCAAGTGCTGGGACCACCTCATCCAGTTCACCCAGTCCTGGAGATGGGGCATGCCAAGCAAGCACCGGGCCACTCAGGGACAGAGCCAGCCTCTGGGGTAGAGGCAGCTGCAGAGGTGCAAGGCCACACCCAGGGTGGTTACCAACGTCCATAGACACACTGAGTCTCTTGATTCACGAGTTGTCTCAAAGGAAAGAATTTAGATTGATGAGGCACGTTCTGAATCTTGGCACATTTTCAACTGCTCAAAATCGAAAGAGCTTTCTTTCTTAAACATGCACTAGCGGCAGGACATGCGCACACGGGAGACAGACAGACACACACTCACACACTGCCCCCCCCCCCGCTGCGCAAGCGGGCACCGGATGGAGACACACACACTCACACACACACACACACACACACACACACACACACACACACACTCTCCCACCCCCACCCCAGGCTAGTCATCCTGAGTCCCGAGTCCCGCCCCTTCCTGCAATCAAAGCCTTCCACGGGCTACAAAGGGTTTCCCTTATAAGGTAAAAGAGGCTCGCTAGTAGATACTTGTGGCCAAGGAACAGGAAGACGTCGGTTAATCACACAAAAATCTAAATGAAACCAGCTGTTGGGACACAGGCCCAGAAGTCTGCCACATGCCCCCCCCCTCCCCATTTCTGGTCTGGGTGCCTCTGGCCTGGAATCAACTTAAGACATCTTTCCACAAGGAAGAGAAGTACACTGCCCTAAGTTTTCCAAAAGGCACCCCCTGCCCCCGCCGCCAAATTCCTGGCTTGGCTGGAGACTCGGGGCCATTTTGGAGCTGTCTAGGGTGGAGTGTGAAGGGCCAGAAGCGCTACTGTGTGGAGCTTCCACCCGCAGCCGAGGCTTCCTCCAGCCGGAGCGGCCCTTGAGGGATCCAAGGTTTCTACTCAGGCCAGGCTGTCGCCCAGAGCGTCTCGGGAGGAGCCCAGGCGGTGCCTGCGCTGCAACTCCACCTGGCCTGGCAGTTTCTAGGGTCCCCGCCCTGAGTCTCTACACTCCGGCTTCCAGGGTCCCTGGACGTCCCCCCAAGACCTCTCCTTTGTCCGAGAGGCTCCTCAGCCAGCAAACGCGGCTCTGGTGCCCAGGCTGGGGGTTCTCAGAGCCCCGGAACCGTCTGGAATGCACCTCCCTAGTCTCGCCTGCCCACCCACCTTCGGCGGACTTTAGGGAGAGAAACGCGAATCGAGTGCCTTGTGGGTGTCAGAGCTGGGTTAGAACCCGGATCAGCCTCCGGCCCCGGGCAGGACCCAAAGATGAAACGGAGGTGCGGTGGCCGCTTCCTCTTTCGGAGCTATTCATGCACCCGGGCGCCCTGCGAGGGCGCGATCAGCGGGTGGAGGGGCCCCGGTGGGTATCCCCAGGGGCTTCGGGAGACGAGGAGACGGGGTGCTGCAGGCCCAGATACTCCTGCCCCCCACCCCGCCCTCAGCGGACACGTCGCGGCCGCACCCCAGGGACGCGCGGGCCGGGAAAGTTCGGGCGCGAAGGAGCGCGAGCGCGCGCCGCCCCCGCCCCCACCGGCCCCGGCCGCAGACAATGGGAGCGCGGCGTCCGCCCGGCCGCCCCGGAGAGAGCCGCTCGCTGGCCCGCTCCGCGCCCCAGCCCCCGCTCCCGCCCGGCCAGCGGACGGCGCCCGCTGGGGCCCCGGGGTGCGGGTGACCCAGGCGGGGGACGGAGGGACGGAGGGAGGGAGGGCTGGAAGCGCGCGGAGCCGGGGAGAAAGGAGGGCGCGCAGGAGCGCGGCGCGGGCCCGGGAGCGCGCGGGGCTGCAGCGCGGGCCGAAAGCTGGGGTCGCGCGGGGGCTCGGGGACGGCGCGGGCCCGGGTCGCTCACTTTCTCGCGCCGCTCGCGCTCGCCGTCCAGCTCGCGCTGCAGGCCCTGCGCGCGGTCCTCCGCGTCGTCCGCCTGCTGCTGCAGGGCCTGGATCTTGCGCTTCACCGCCTCCAGCGAGTTGAGGCCGGCCATGGCGCGCTCGCTCCGCTGGGCTCCGGCGACAGCTGGGCGGCCGCGCCCGGGCCCGCGAGCCTTGGCCACGCCGGGGCCGCCCCCGCCTCTCCCCGCCCCCGGCCGCTGCCGTCGGGCCGATGAGGTCACCCCGGCCGGCCCGCGACGTCAGCACCGGGCGGGGGGGGGGGACTGACGTCGGCACCGCTGGTCGCCGCTGCCCCGCGGGCTCCTCGTCCTCCCGCGCGGCCCGCCCCGCCTTGCCCGAGCGGGCGCCCGCAGCTGCGCTTACATCCGAGGCTTTCTTCTCCGCCTGCTCTAGCTTCTCGTGCGCGTCCTTCAGGTCCTCAGAGTGCCTGTCCAGCTCGTCCTCCGCGCCCTTCAGTTTCTTCTGGAGGTGCGTTAGCTCCTCTTCCACCTGGGGACACAGAGGACACCCAGTCAGCCTAAGGGTCTGGGCCCAGCTCTCTGGGCCTCAGTTCCCTCATCTGTAGAGTGCGGACGGACGTGGTGATGCGCGCCTGTCACCCAGCACTTGGGAGACTGAGGCAGAGGCATTGGGAGTTTGAGGCCCTGCCGAGAAACATGAGTCTTTTTTTTTTTTTTTTTTTTTTGTTTTTTGTTTTTCGAGACAGGGTTTCTCTGTAGCTTTGGAGGCTGTCCTGGAACTCACTTTGTAGACGAGGCTGGAAACATGAGTCTTTATGAGCTGGCGAGATGGCTCAGCGGGTAGAAACCCTTGCCTCCAAGCCTGACGCTGTCCACAGACCCCACTCCCATAAGCTGCCCTCTGCCCTCACAACGCGCCCCCCACAGTAATGTAGAAAGTGAAGAGTCTGTATAGACAGGTCTCTTACAGAGAGCACAGGTTTGACTCCCTGCTCCTGTTCCAGGGGATCCAACACCCGCCTCTGGCCTCTGTGACACTGCTGCACAGGCTTGCACGCAGACAAAACACCCACACACGTAAAATAAAAATAAATCATCCACCCATTGCAGTAAGTGTGCACCACTGAATTCCTGGACTCACTAGCGTCCCCACTCTCTTGGGGAAGTCAGAGCCTCTCTTTTCTTATAAACACTACAAATTCCATTTTGCATTCCCATTTTCAGAATGCCGCTTTCGGTGATCTCTGTTTAAGCCAAGTGGGGCCTCTGAGTCTCTCGCCGAGTTTCATAGTCTGAGGACAAATTTCTGATCATGTACAGGCCCGTCTCCCTGCCGAGAACCTTCTGTGGCTCCCCACTGTTCTGCAGAGTCCTGAACCTGTTCCCGCCTGGCTTTGTGGGCTCACTGGAAGAGACTTACCCCTCAGAAACCAATCCCCTTTCAAGCTCAAGCTCTCCCTCCCCCAGTTTTTGTACATTTGTCATGAATCTGTTTTAATTAGCACATCCCTTAACCTCTCCAGACCGCAGTCCTGTTTGTCCTGAGGGTCTGCCCCCCACTTCCTGTTTGAGGTGTTCCATCCACCTCTGTCACAGTCACCCAGGAAGCCACCCAGCCTCGGCTACACCTCCTAGCTGCCAGGACCACTCCTGTATCGCCTCCGGTGGGTCTCCTGCTGCACCCCAACGTTGTACCAGGCTCCAGTCCGGCAGCCCTCAATGACTCCCTCAGCAGGGAGCACACAGGTGATTGCCTTCCCCTAGGTTAACTAGGACTGGAATCCAGTTCTCAAGATAAACTTGTTGAGGACTGAATGCTCACACCAAGACTGATCTCTGTGGACAGCAAGTGTTAACTAAGATGATAACCAGCTGAACATGTGTGTGCGTGAATGCAAGAGAGACAGAGAGAAAGAGCATGCAAAGCAGTCGAGAGAACATTAAATGCTGTCTTCTCTCTCTCTCTCTCTCTCTCTCTCTCTCTCTCTCTCTCTCTCTCTCTCTCTCTGTGGTTTTTCAGGACGGGATTTCTCTGTGTAGCCCTGGCTGTACTGGAACTCCCTCTGCAGACCAGTCTGGCCGTGAACTGGCAAGGATCCGCCTGCCTCTGAGTGCTGGGATTAAAGGCGTGTGCTACCATGCCTGGCTGCTGTACACCCTTTTTAATTTTAATTTTTGGGGACAGGGTCTCACTGTGTGGGTCAGGCTGGCCATGAGCTCTGAGAGCTCTGCCTCCCCACACAGGGGTTAACACTTTGTTCTCTTCTCTCCCAAAGGGAGGATGTTGTAAGAGGGGCCCCCTGGGAGGTTCTGAGGCACCCCTCAGTGGGTAGGAGTTAAAGCCCACCCCCAGGGGGAGACCCAGGCCTGGCATGGGGACCCAGCTGATGTCCCAGATGAGGCCCAGCAGGAGCAGGCCCAGCTGGCTTGTGCGACAACCCAAGGCCGCGCCTCTACAGTCCCAGGCTGCACTGTGAGGGATGTGACTGGGCCATCCATCTTCCCTGGCACTTCAGCTAAAGCCAGCACCCTGACCCCAGGCAGAGAGCCCCAGATAGGTGACCCCTGACCCCTTTTCTGGCCTTGGTTTCCCTATCTGCAGAATGGAAACCTTGGCCTGGTGACCTCTGAACACTCTGAAGCAGGAAACTGACTTTGACTAAGAGTGAGTCATTTTCCTTAAGGACACCTCCCAGAGCAGGGCTGGCCCTCACCCTTGTCTTCCTTCTGGATCTGTGGAAGAGTATTTATTGAGCACCTACTGTATACCAAGCCTGGGTACTCTCGGTGTGAAACAGTTAAGACCCCACTGGACTCAGAGGCGGTAAAGAGAGTTTGAATGGTTTTGTGTGCTTCTAAAAAAGAGGTGTGTGTGTGTGTGTGTGTGTGTACATATGAGTGTAGGTGCCTGCAGAGGTGTTGATCCCCTGGAGCTGGAGTTACAGGCAGTTGTGAATTGCTGGACTCACAACCGTTAGCCACAGACCCGTCACTCCACCTCTCTGTGCAGACAGGGAATAGCTTGAACTCCTGACCCTTCCGTCTCCACCTCATAGTGCTGGGATGACAGGCATGTGTCTCTTCACCTGGGCACCCGACGGAGTTCCCGATGTGTTGGGAGACAACATTTGAACAAGAACAGTTGGGAGCTAACACAGACAGACAGGCTCACTGAAGCCCTGCGTTACGGAGTGGCAAACACTCCCGGAAAGGGGAGCGGACTCCAGGGTCACATGGGTGGGACTTGGATCCCAGACTCTGCTCTCCACAGTTTTGCTGTCAGCCCACCTAAACCTAGTGTCCCCAGCCTCCTCCCTCTGGCACCCTGAGGCTAGGGATGTCACTGAGGACCAGGTTTGCCACTGAAGTCACCATGAGCTCCAGCAGCAGGAAGTGATCTTTGACATGTGTACAGTGTGCACGTGTGTATGGTGTATGGTGTGTGTGTGTGTGTGTGTGCTTGCCTATGTGGAAGACAGAGCTAACATCAGGCCTCTGCTTCTGTCACTCTCCACTCTGTTTTTTGAGGTAGGGTCTCTCAGTGGAACTTGAGTCCACTAATTTGGTTAGCCTGGTGGGGCAGGGAGCCCCAGATCCCCAGTGCTGGGGTTACGGGCGTGCCCTGCTGTGTTGGGCTTTTACATGGGATCTGGGATCCCGAGCCCCCAGGAGTTTGTTGATTGGATCTGTGACACTCCAAAGCCTCCAGGGGTAGGAGGTGGGCATGAAAAAGAAACAGATCTAACAGGAACTGGACCGTTTTCCTTCTGTCCAAATTTCACGCACAAAGCGTGTGGGTGTGCAGCCTTCCCTGGCCAGCCACTGTGCTTTGGGCCTCAGTTTCCCTCCCAGTCAAGTGGTCATAGGATACACAGTCTAGTGAGGCGGAGGCAGGATGCGGGGTCAGAGGGCAGCAGGAACGGATGTTGCTGCCCTGAGTTGGGAGTGGGCAGGAAACAGCCGGGCCAGTTTTCCATCCTATTTCCACAGTAGACAGGCATAGCCAGGAACCGGATCTGGGGTCCCTGGAGACACAGGGGCAGGGGTTGGTTCAGATGGGTCCTGATGGGCTCCCTCTGTCCTCACACTGTGCTGGGCCCTCTAGGAAAGGGGAGTCATGTCGGCACCCGTACCCACCCTGCAGCCTCTAGCACCAGAAGTGACCTAGCTCTCTGCCCCAGCATCCCACGATGTCACTAAGGGCTCAGAGACGGTGGCCTGCGGCCAGGTGCGGTGGTGGACACCTCTCATCCAGCCTGCGCAACACAGTTGGATGTTGTGTCAAAAACCATACCTGGGAAACGGCACGGTGGATAGAGCGCTCTGCCAAGCTTGACAATCCGAGTTCAATCCCAGGACCAGAAGGTGGGAGAAACGAACCACCTGCTAAAAGTTGTCCTCAGAGGTTTCCACATGTGTGCCCCTCCTCCCCAAACACAAAACAGCCAAATAAAGTGGAGAACCCTGGATTCGAACCCCAGGCACTTCTAGCAGGCTGCTTGAGGAAGAGACTTGGAATATATAGAAGAAAACAACAAAGTCCAGGGCAGGGGAGATGGCTCAGTGGGTAAGAACGCTTATAGCACAAACTTGATGATATGAGTTCAAATCCCCAACACCCATATAACCCCCGTATGGATACTCACGTGTTGCAACCCCAGTACTATATGTATGTGTGTGTGTGTGTGCGTGTGTGTGTGTGTGTGTGTGTGTGTGTGTGTGTGTGTGTGTCACAGGAGGGTCACTGGCTGCCAGGCTAGCCCCAGGGCCAGTGAGAGACCCTGCCTTAGGGGATAAGTCAGAGGTTGCTAGAGCAGATACTAGGCATGTTTCTCTGCCATCTGGGACACAGACGTGTGTACACCACACACACACACACACACACACATACTCGAAAAGAAAAATCCAGCAAGAAGCGGGACAAACTGCCACTATTTTGGCCACTGAGCTGAACTGTGAGTCTCTGAGAACGAGGTTCCCTTCGGAGAGCCGATAGAGCAGCCAGTCACAAGTTAGTGAGCAGAGGGGCTGCAAACTCACTTTTCTGTATCCCAAGCCGAGCCCTTCATGACAAGGACTTGAGGGTTGGGCAAAACCCAACATTCACGCACCACACAGTTGTGGGCAGGCAGTCTCGCCCAGGACAGGGAGGGGCGCCAGGGAAGGAGGGGTGGAGCTAGCCTACACAAATGTGCCACACAGGTTCTCCAGGCGGTCCCGGGACAGTGGGGGATGGGGAGGCCCGAAAGGGAAGTCAGGCGGGGCCGGATGTAACTCCACATTTATCGAGTGCTTACTCTCAGCAGGGCACTGGGCCAAGGGTTTCACCTGCACAGTCACCCATGAGCCTCCGTGTCAGCCGGGAGGTGGCTCTGCGACTTCCCCACCTTCCAGGGAGGCCGCAAAGGCACGGAGAACAGGCGGTGCCTGTCCCTGGACACACAGTGATGAAGTCCTCGGTCACTCCTGGCCCGGGCAGGGCTTCGGAGTTTGGTGTCACCATCCCGGGGACCCCTGGGTTTCTCTGAGGCTGTAGATGCTTCTGTGGGCTTCGCAGGTGACCCTGTGGTGGGACACGCCCCCGAGGGCAGAGTGGGGTGCTGCTAGAGTGGGGGACAGCGTTGCCGTCTTCCTCCACTGTGACTGACTCTGGACACAACGTTGAAGCGGGCGCATTCGCTCTGCCGGGGTCGCTGCAGAGGCTGCCCGGGACTGCAGAGGCTGCCCGGGACTGCAGGGGCTGCCCGGGACTGCAGGGGCTGCCCGGGGTCGCTGCAGAGGCTGCCCGGGACTGCACAGGCTGCCCGGGACTGTGTGAGTGCTGAGCCTGGGCAAGTGTCCACTGACCCCAGATCCCCAGGGAACCCCCACCCCAAGGCCTCCTGGGTACCTGCTCCCTATACTTCCTGGCAGCTCCAAGGCTGTCGGGGCAGAAGAGGTCTCTGGTCCTTTCGCAGGGAGCCTGGTTTCCAGAGTACTCGGTGCTACTCTCCCTGAAACCCAGACTCCTCCTGGCTGCTCTGTAGTGGGTCACAGGTCACCTCTCTCCACACACAGCCACTCTCTTTAGGATGCTGTCACAACGGGGGACACGTTTGACACTTAACCTAGACACACAGGGCAATGTCCATCCTGATGACACCTCAGGGACACAAGTCCAGACACTACAGCCCCAACAATATAGGATCATCCTGTGACTGACAGAAGCGCACAGACAGGCAGACAGACAGACAGACAGACAGACAGACAGTCTTGTCTTCCTCACACCTTGGCCCTATAGCGAGGAAACACGACATTCACACACCACACAGATGTGAGCACACACGGGGAGAGAGAGGAGCCTCCACACACAGCCTCCCTGACTCACTGGCTGACCGCTGGGCCTTCCTCAGACTCCCTTAGTGAGTGCTACGTTTCTCTCACACCCAGGGGCTGCACCTGGCCCTGTCCACAGCCTCCTAGGAAGAGCAGGGCTCCCTCAGTTTTTCTTTGTTAGAAAACTACACATCCCCGTGTCATGGGCAAGAGCGGAGGGCAGAGGGCAGCTGGCTGCAGGCTTCTCCTCTCCCACCATTGCATCCTGGGACTGAACGCCGGGGTCCGTCTTGGGGACAGACCCCCTGGCCGCGAACCAGCTCTTCAGCTGACACCCTGCCTTTTCTGTTTCAGGGCATTAGCCCCCACCTTCCCGGCAGTGCCCAGGCTCCAGAGTTCCTGGGATGCTCACCCTCCGGTCCGGCCCTGGGATGCTCACCCTCCGGTCCAGCCCGAGACAGTGGAAGGAGTCAGCACAGAGAGGGCGCTGGGCAGCCCGGAAGCAGCCCGCTGGGCAGCCCGGAAGTAGCCCAGCGTGGCTGGGGCTCTTACTTGCTTGCACTTGTCCTCAGCGGCTTTTTTGTCCACCTCGGCCTGTTCGGCGCGGTCGATGGCGTTCTCCTTGTCCAGCTTCAGCATCTGCATCTTCTTCTTGATGGCCTCCATGGCTGCTGTGGGGTGTGGGCCGGGGTGCAGTGAACAGCCCAGGGTGGAGGACCAGGCCTTATAAGCCGTGCGTGCCCGCCCTCCTGCGGGCGAGTCTTGGAGGAGGCCCAAGTCTGCTGCCGGGCCAGCCACCACTCGCTCGCACTTGGGAGGACTTGGCCAGCTCACCTGCCCGAAGACCTCACCTTATTTGGGTCGAGGCTTTTCTTAAAGATAAAAAAAAAAAGGCCAGATCCGGTTCCATTTGTAACCTGGTGACACAGGTCTGGGCCCCATGTGAGACTATGGGCAACAGGCAGGTCTCCGGAGACTCCTGTGAGCAGGTCTGGGACAGGGTTGTACCTGGCAGCCTCAGTTTCCCTGGCTCCAGGGAAGAATGAAGGTTTGTGAGTGGCTCAGAGTCTTTGCTTCAGACGTGGAGATGCCTGTCTACACCCTTGCCCTGTGGAGTGCTGCCCGTGGATATCAGGGCCAGCTGTCGTCATTAGGTCCCCTGGCGGCACCCAGCATGGTCTCTGCTCTCCCTGCTCTCCCTGCTCTCTCTCTCTCTCCCTGCTCTCTCTCTCTCTCTCTCTCTCTCTGCTCTCTCTCTGCTCTCTCTGCTCTCTCTCTGCTCTCTCTCTCTCTGCTCTCTCTCTCTGCTCTCTCTGCTCTCTCTGCTCTCTCTCTGCTCCCCCTGCTCTCTCCCTGCTCTCTCTCTGCTCTCTCTCTCTGCTCTCCCTGCTCTCCCTGCTCTCTCTGCTCTCTCTCCCTGCTCTCTCTCTGCTCTCTCTCTCTCTCTCTGCTCTCTCTGCTCTCTCTCTGCTCTCTCTCCCTGCTCTCTCTCTCTCTCTGCTCTCTCTCTCTGCTCTCTCTCTCTCTGCTCTCTCTCTGCTCTCTCTGCTCTCCCTGCTCTCTCTCTGCTCTCTCTCTGCTCCCCCTGCTCTCTCTGCTCTCTCTCTGCTCCCCCTGCTCTCTCTGCTCTATTCTCTTTTTCCCAGCGTCTCTCATTCTATAACTCGCTGCTGTCTTATGTCTCCATCTCTCCTGTCACCATGGTTTCTCTCACACGCAGCTCACCAGAGTGAGAGCCTGGCCCATCAGCTACTGTGGGTTATCTCCTGCAAACTTGCAGCTCTAGGCAAGTTTCATAGACCCCACACTCTGTCTTCCTTGTTCAGAAACGATGTGGCTCCCTAGTACCTACAGAAATAGCACATGGCCTTAGACTCCCATGCCTCCCATCCCTGCCAGTGCCCCTGAAAAGCCAAACCCTGGGCTCCTGGCCCAGCAGCAAGACCTTCTTGGTCCGGGATCCAGTCCTAGCCCATACCTTCCCCTAAGTTCTTTTTCTATCCCTTCCCTAATTTGATCTGTGTTCCTGCCAAGCAGACTCAGTTTCCCTTTGTGACAAAAGCAGACTGAATTAAATGTATCTCCACATTGTGGATGAAAAAAAAAAAAAACCAAACTCAGCGGCAGGTCACAAAGGCTCCCTGTCAAGTCACTGACACGTTAAACCTGTCACCAGCCTAACAAACAGGTAGACACTTTGCTCGAGACAGGATCTTCCAGTGGGGCCCAGGCTAGCTCGGGACTCCCGGTTCTCCCATCTCAGCCTAGCAGAGTGCTGGAGCCACAAGCATTGCCTGGGCACTGGGCTACACTCCACCGTAGTTTTTGCAGAGCTGTGTGAAACTCCGAGCCTTACCCTGTGCCCAGAAGGGTTTGTCTGCCCACTCGTGACCTCGCTGGGGCATTCTAGGCAGCATTTCTACCTGTGGGCTGCACCGCAGCCTCCCTTCTCTGATTCACAGATAGGAAACCAAGGCCCAAGGCTCACTCCTGGCCACCCAACTTGTCAGTGACTCAGCTGAGTCTGGTGCTGAGGTCTTCACTGCCCCCCCCCATGTGGTTGAATCAACCACCTAAAGTTGAGTCATCCGAGGTCGCCTGGCTCCATCCCTACTGCCTCTGGCGCCTGCCTACCTCAGGTGCTGTGGCTAATCCCAGGTCTGACAGCATGGCTCAGGGAGAGGACCCACCCGCAGAACCCGTTTCCCTCGGTCTCTTAGGGGTAGGCCCTGGTGTCATGGAGCTCTGGGGTGGAACCTGACTTTGGGAGAGGACTAGGGGACTCGCCCCTGTCCCCAGCCGTGTCCTCTCTGTCCTCTGACCTCTACACTCAGGGATGAACACTGCCTTTCTATGTCTCTGCCCCAGGGTCATTTGGGAAGTCCTGGCTAAGGGTGGAGTGTCTGGTCCCTGAGGGGAAGTTTGATGACTATCCTCTCTATGCACCCAAGGCAGGGCCAGTTAGAAGATGACATTTCTAGCTCTAAAAGAATGTCCCCTGTACTCCACTTGAGGATAGACGTCTTGGACATGAGAGTATTATGATCCAGGCTACTGTGCTAGTTCAGCGCCCCCTCACTCTGTCTGTCTGTTTCTCCCTCCTGTGTGTGTGTGTGAGAGAGAGTGTGTGTGTGAGTGAGTGAATGTGTGTGAGAGTGTGTGTGCCCACACGAGTGTGTAAGGCCAGATTGTGGGATTCTGTTCTCTTCTTCAGGTCGTCAGGCTTGGTGGCTAGCTCCTTCACCCACTGAGCCATCTCTCCTGCCCAGTGTGAGGGTTTGGGTGACACGGTAGAGACTGTGACTCGATTCTGTGGATTGAGACCGACCGTTTCAACAGTGCAAACAAATGTCTCAGTTTGGGTGTTGCAGAAGCAGATCCTGACACAAGATCTCAGGGGTGAATAGTTTATAACGGGGGTGATCCAAAGAGCACTGACACCAGGAGACCCCAACCTTCACCTAAACTGGTTACCACCAGGTTCAATGGGGTTGCAGTACCAGAGCAAGCCTCTTGGGGCGCCAGAGAGCACAGACCTCCCCACCCCCACCCCCCCAACCTTGTTCTTTGTGGTCTGTACCTGGAGGGTGCTGATTGGCCAGTGTTTCCGTGACCAATTTTTGTTTGTTTGTTTGTTTGTTTTTGTTTTTGAGACCGGGTATCACTATGGAGACCAGGCTGGCCTGAACTCACAGGAATCCATCTGCCTCTGCCTTAGGTGCTGAGATTAAACATCTGCGCCACCACATCTGGTCTGTGTTTTAGTTTTTTTGAGACAGGACATTGCTTTGCAGCCCAGGCAAGCCTCTGTGCAGTTGGTCCCCTGGATCTTTACATGCCACAGATTCCTGGAGACTTTTAGGGTGGGGAATAGACTCTCTGATGCCATTTGACCCCAGAGTCACCCACCCCCCTACTATTGATGGACGGCTACAAGCTGACCCTCCCCGAGACATCCAGAGTTACTTCCCCACCCTCCCTCGCTGCCACGCAGGGTGAACAGGGGCTCAGCACTGCACTTTCTCGCTAAAGCCGTTGGACATCCTCGTCATCTGCCCTGGCCTCTGGGCTTCGCTCTGCACCCAGGGCCGAGTGCCCCTCTGTCTGCAAACTAACTGGGTTGTAGCCTGGCGGGGGGTAAGAAGGACCTGTGGGACTAGCAAGATGGATCTGTGGTAGAGCAGAGGCCGAGCATGTGAACCCCAGGATCTGTCCCTGGTGTCAGCCCTGGGGATCCATTCCCATCACTGCCGGGAGGACTGGCATAGGCTGTGTGGGTGTGGCCTGGTGTCCTTGCAATGCTGAGTAGCACTTTGTGGTTTAGAGAGCTACAAAACAGGCAGAGCCACAGGCTCGGCAGCATGGTGGGGTAATTAATAATAATTGCAGTTAACATTGATTGGCCCCATTGTGCCTGCAGCTGTCTGCCAAGTGCCTTCAATTGAATTGCATGCAGTTTTACAATTCTCCCAAGAGAAGAGCACTGCGTTTTATTTAAAAAGAAAAATATTACTTATTTTTATTTTATGTGTGTATGTGTGTCTGTGTGTGAGTTTGTGTGCCACATGCGTGCAGTGCCCTTGGAGGCCAGATGAGGGCATCAGATCTCCTAGAACCACAGTTATGGGTTTCTGTGAGCCAACCAGTGTAGGTGCTGGAACTGAACCCAGGTTCTCTGCAGGAGCAGCCACTGCTTTTCACAGCCAGTAATTTACTCAAGCGTCAGAGCTGGGATTGGAACATGGGCTCTTGACTTTGGAGTCTACACACAGAGCCACTAGCCAATGCCATGAACAGCCTCTTCTGGTCCAGGACCAGCTCAGGTTATCCACAGCAGTCAGCCAGGGGGGATCATTGCTGCTGTCAGGGTTCAGTTCCATTCATGACTCTGAACTATCTGGCCCTGGGGGTGTGGTAGCCTGGGTTCCAGCTACCTCTAAGGATGTTTGCCCATGGAGTGTAGCTTTCCCTGTGGAGCAGGTGTTTGCCTATGGGTCACAACATCCCTTGTGGAGCAAGGGGCAGGTTTGTTTGGTTTCCGTAGAGATAATAATATCCCTCTTGGACTTGAGGACAGGGCAGGGATGTTCGCTTCCAACAAAAAAGCTGGGATTTATTCCTTTAAACAATAGCTTTTATTTTTGTTTGAAAATATGTTTTCATGCAATATATTCTCTTTTTTATTTTATTTTTTATTTTTTGAGACAGGGTTTCTCTGTGTAGCTTTGGAACCTGTTGTGGGATTTGCTCTGTAGACCAGGCTGACCTCAAACTCATAGAGATCTGCCTGCCTCTGTCTCTCGAGTGCTGGGATTAAAGGTGTGCACTACCATTGCCCAACTCATACAATACATTCTGATGTCTGTTTCCCCTCTCTCAACTCCTCCCAGAGTCTCTCCACGGAGAAATCCATCCAACTCCATTCCTTCATTCTCTCTCTTTCTTCAGGAAAAAGAAAAAGCCAAATAGGCAAACAAACAAAAAACAAACAAACAAACAAACTAGAATAAAAAACAAAACAAAGAAAAACCACAGAAACACACACACATACACACACACACACACACTCAGAGCTATGAAAACACAAAGTTGGAAACCATAATTTGCAAGCAAAAGACCAGTAAAACAAAATAATACCCGGCCGGGCGTTGGTGGTGCACGGCTTTAATCCCAGCACTCGGGAGG